GTGTTTTTCCTCTCGTTCGATCCTCTCTCTCGTTCAACTTTCTCTCTCTTTCTCTTGTTCTTTCTATTTTCTTTATTCAAACTCTCTTTCTTTTACCCTAATTAGTATATAATTAAGAATAAAAGATGGCAATAATAACCCACTAATTAATTTAAGGTTACCTCTTTTAACCCCCAAGTAATTAGACTTATTAACATTAACCCACTAACTTTATAATTAAAGCAGGAATAGTCAAAAACGCCCCTTAAAACGTAGAAAGAAATCCGACCCAGACTGGGATTACGCAGTCTGTGACGGCCCGTCGCGTCTGTGACGGCCCGTCGCGTCTGTGACGGCCCGTCGCGTCTGTGACGGCCCGTCGCGTCTGTGACGGCCCGTCGCGTCTGCGACGGTCCGTCCTGCTGCCCGTCACAGAGTTCAGAGACTCAATTTCTCTGAAGAGTCTGTGACGGTCCGTCCTGCCAGTCCGTCACGAAGTTCAGAGAGTCGATTTTCAGTACCCAATTTCAGATTTTCTAAGTGTTTTGAAACGAGACCCTGCGACGGTCCGTCGTGCCCATGACGGTCCGTCGTGGGGTCCGTCGCTTCTGCCAGTTTTTCCAGAATTGAAATCTGATGCTCAAAACGACTAAACAGGTCGTTACATTCATTCACTATTGTATTATATACATATGGACTTACACACATTTGAATAAAAAGAAAGTCTTCTCCTACATCTACTTCTCTTATTTTCTTCCTTACTTATTCTATTATGAGTTTGATTTTATAACACTTCATTATTATTTTTATTTCACGTTTATTTTATTTTTATCCTTCATACAAATAACTCTGAACGATAAATCATATAAAATTTACTCCAAAGGATAGATCATATAAAATTTCCCTACATCTCATTCTTTTTTTGTAATAGTTAAGATGGTACTGTTTTTTTTCCTTTGAAAGACTATCAAACAAAGTCATCATTCGATTCAAGATCGAATCCAAATTTGAAAATTTAAACAAATTTCAACCTCCTCCTCCTTTTTTCTTCTCATACTCAACCGCAGACCCATCTTATAACAAGGGTTCACCCGACACAGCTTTGTTGAAATTTTTTAGTATATAAATATATACAAAAATCTGAAAAAATATTAAAAGGCATACAAAAATTATTAATAACATTCCTTGGGCAAGGCAACTTCTTGGCTCGATGGATTGCACCGTGAGCAAAATTGTTGTTGCAGTTCCAATGCACAAGTTCGATCCCCAGTAGGTAGTGGCTCTTATTTTTATTTTATGGCGATTTTAGAAAAGTTTATCAAAATGATTCGAACCTCCAATCCCCTAGTTCCTATTTAAATTAGGCTAAAATAAACCAATTGAACTAGAATACAACTTATTATCGATTAAGGAAATTTTATTACTTGTTATAATATGATTTTCTCTTAATTTTAAGTTCACTTCCTTTATCTTTCACTTTTATAGTTTTAGTTGAAATTTCTCGAATATTCATGAACTTTTTATAGATTTAATTTCTTGAATTTATTTAGAGTTACCTAATTTATTTAAATTTAAATTCAGATCAATTCATTGGATAGATATTATTCTAAAGTATTTTTAAATCTTTCAAAGTCAAGATTGATTTACCAAATCGAATGGATGAGAGGTTGTTTGGTGTCATATATGGAGAAAGATATATTAAGTTACCTTCTTCAATAAGGCTATTATGAATATATTTCAAAATATGAAAATTTGTTAAGGAGAATTATTGTAGTTTACTTGATTTATATTTTATTAATAGTTTTTTTAATTATTTTTATATTAATATGATATTTTTATATCAATTATTTAATATTTATTTATTTTTTAAATATCGACACTATTTTAAAAAAATCTTGCGTACACTACTGCTCATACTTCTCTATTAGATGAACATGTGTGAGTGATTGTGGTTAAAATTAGTTTTAATATACTTAGACTGCAAATTATATGGATTTATTTCAAAGGAAAATGATTAGATTTAAAAAAAAGATAAATGACATAAATATCACATTTAAGTTCTGTTATTACCATTGTCCCTTATTAGTTTTATAAATTTTCAAATTTCTCATTTTTGTGCATTAGATTAATGTATGATCGTATCAGATTAATGAATTTCTCACATCAAATTAATGTATCTCACGCATCAGAGTAATGTATCATATATAAAATGTACACCAAATTAGTGTATCAGGTATAAAATGTAATGTATCTTATTTAACGATTAATGTATCAACACTTATATTATTATATCAGTTTGAGAAATTTTCTTAATTATAAACTCATAAGGAACAAATGATAATTTTACCTTAAAAGTACGTGATTTCTCACATTCTCCTATATTACATTGCCTTAAAAGTATGTTGGGTATATTGTGCACAGTGCGCACAACTTTTCATACAAAGAAATACATGATTGATGATACTTGAGGATAATTAGATATATTGTGATATTGTTATTATATATGTAAACATATACATAACATAATTGGGATTGACATATGAAGTTGAAGTCGATAACACAAATTAGACAATCATAAATACGAAGATCGAAAACATTGAAATCAAATTCTAATCATATAATAAAGCCTTATCTTCAAAATATTTTACTAAAATTGAAGATATTGAAATATTCTCAAATGATCAATCTTTTTTAATTGAATAATAACCAAACATGAGAAATAGTTATCCAATTATACTAGTAATATTATATAAAATGTACGACTTTATGTTAATAAGCAAAGCGATGGCGATTTCTCTTCTCTTTAGGGCAAGTTGTCCTGGTTCATGTCCGTATTTAAAGACCTTTTTTTTTACTTCGATTACAAACGTATTACGTAAAAATAATAATTACAGGACAACCTATTTTGATCCAATTATTTAATCAATACATATTCTTAAAAAGTATTTTGGGGTCCATATTCCCAACTTCAGATATACAATATTTTATGATAAGCTTCACAAAATTAAACTTTAGAGAAAATATGTATGAGTGAAGTTTATAGATTCTAGCTTAAAATTACATAGTTATAGTGTACTGGTATGATCACACGCTTATTCCATGAAGTGCAAAACATAATTAAGCAAGTAATTACAACATCATAAACATGCATATACCAAACATATATAATATCAATAACAACTCCACATTCTAAGATTTTTTTACAATTTTTTGAGATGTTTTATTAAACATTTCAATTTAGAAGTAATAAGATTATCAAATAATTAAATTTTAAAGATATTATCTTAATTTTAATTAATATGATATTGAATTTTGTAATTAAAAATATTATGAAATATTATATTAGTAAAAATCATATTCTAACTGATATATAGATTCAATTAAGTGAAACCTTAATTTTATTTTTAAAATAATTTTGATAATTTATGTAACAATTGATTCTATTGAAAAAGTTTTCGAATCTATTATCAATAAGAGAGATTTAAATATTTGTATTATTACTTAAAGTACAATAATTTATATATGTTTATTATGATCTTACAAAATATTACAAGTGCTATTCTCTCAATTGAAAAGAAAAAATTAATTATTAAATTTTAATCAACTACACTTTTTAAAAAAAATAAAATTATGAGATTAAAATATATTTAAAATTAAATATTGAATTAACAACTGTAATTGATTTTTGTTAATATTGAATTAACAACCTGTATTGAGCGTCCCTAATGGAGGGATCTTATTAATCCACCACAATTTGATCAGTAATTGATCTTTTTGTTACCACAATTTTCGTGTCAAAAAATTAAAGTAAAAAAATAATAATTTGATTACTTTTGCATTTTTATAAATCATGAATTTATTTTGTTATTATCTATTGAAAATAAACTTTTTATGCACAAAAGTTGAGATAAAGTTATCTTTCATTTTAATGAAGAGTGATCTTACTCTTTATGTTTTACATTATATCTCTCAATTCCTGTTCTTAGTTTAATATGAAACAATAAATATATTTCAAGTAGGATCAAGGATTAAAATAAGAAAATAAAAATAACTCGTATGGTAGTCCATCCACTTGTGCTACTATATATATGTTGGGTATATTTTTGTTGTTGGTATGTGCTTTACAATTTTGATGTTAAATATATATTCATATTTATAAAATAACAAAACTGAAATATTTGACTATATAATTATATATACAATTATTAGTAAATTAATATCATAATATAAACTAGTATGAGTACAAAACTAATTGTTTAGACTACTTTATTTTGATTCAAATGACATTTTCATCTATTTAATTAACAAAGTAAATTATTTGTAATTTCCTTTGTAAATTTCTATATGTAGTGTGATAATATGATATAATAAGGCATTTTTTTTAAAAACGCCAATATTATATTTGTCAATTGTAAGAGTCCATATAAGACAAAATTATATTAAAATATCAAAAAATATCAAAATAAAATTTTTCAATATAATATCATATCCATCCCTCGGCTAATCTCGCCTCTGAAAAAAGGAAAAAAACTCGCATCCAAAAAAAAAAAGGAAAAAAAAAGTAGAGGAAAAGATATACCATACTTGCCATAATTCGAAATTAGTTTCCATCAAATAATTATTTTGCAAGATTAAAAATGCAAATTGTTATATTTTTAGATATCCTTGAAGGCAAGTAATAAAATAAAATTATGGATCAAAAAGGTAGAGCAAAATGTTGTAGCATAGAGCTTGCAAGCCGGGAAGTACCTCCTATAAATAATCACCACCTCTCACTAGTCTTCACACACACACACAACAAAAACAACACTTCATTCTCTACTATTTTTCATGTATGTTTTTCTCTTATACCCCACCTCCACCTCTATTACCCCCTACCTCACCTCCATTTAGTTTCTTTCATCACCCAAGAATATTTTTATTTTCTCTTCTTGAACTTAGATATCATACCCTCTCTAGTCATTTGTTCTTTCTCATCTAATTTTTTCTTCACTTCTTTATCTTAACAACAAATCAACAACAAAAAGAAGTAGAATAAAATAAAATTAAAAAAAAAAAGCAAGAGAAAAAGAAGCTTGTTTGATATATCCTCCTTCCATATAGAATTGTAAGTAATCCAAATTAACAAAAAAAAAAAGAGTTCTAAATGTTTTCTTCTTTTCAAGGTTTTGTACTAGGAAAATTCATTTTTAGCATCACCCTTATACACAAAAAAAAATGAGTTCTAAATGTTTTCTTCTTTTTCAAGGTTTTGTTCTAGGAAAATTCATTTTTAGCATCACCCTTATACACAGAAAAAAAAAGAGTTCTAAATGTGTGTTTATATCTTATATCGTGTTTTTTTTTTGTAGAGAAAGGAAAGGTTGATGGCCCCCGATGATAGAGGAACAAGGAACGGGGGAGGAACAAGACAAGCGCTTAAGAAAGGGCCATGGACAGCAGGAGAGGACGCAATTTTGATGGATTATGTGAAGAAACATGGAGAAGGGAATTGGAACGCAGTTCAAAGGAATTCAGGATTGATGAGGTGTGGAAAAAGTTGTAGGTTAAGATGGGCTAATCATCTTAGACCTCATCTTAAGAAAGGCGCGTTTACTCCAGAGGAAGAAAGGATTATTATCGACCTTCATGCTAAACTTGGCAACAAATGGGCTCGCATGGCCGCTCAGGTTAAATCTCATTTCTATTTTTCTCTGTCTTTTCATTCATGTCGAAAAAACAAAATAATTGGTGTTCTTACATCTATGTCCTTTCTGCATATATATAGGATCTTGTTATTTCTATTTTCTAGCCTTTAATTAATTTTACAAACCAAACAAATCATTTTCCATAAAAGGATCTCTCGATCAGAGAGTTTTTGATTTTCTTCTTGATTCATTTAGTTTTATTAGTTTCTTTTTAATTTTCATCTTGTTTTTTAGTCGATTCATATTTTATCGCCATGCTTGTGTAGTTTTGGGTCTGATTTGTTATAGATGGTTATTCCTCTATTGAATCTTAACTTCAATTTGGATATGGACCTCATTTATTTATCTTGTTGATTCAATTAGTTTTGTTGGTTTTGATTTTTGTTAGATTCATATTTTATTGCCATGCGCGTGGAGTTCTGGTTTAATTTGTTTTATAAATGGTTATCTCGTTATCATTATAATTTCTCTGTTGAATCTTAACTTCAATTTAATCTGGTTATTGACCTCATGAAATTATAAGTTTTTTTTTTTGTGATTGATCTAATGAATGATAAATTGTCTATTTTTTTTTATGATATTCATTTCATTGATTGCAGCTACCTGGAAGGACTGATAATGAGATCAAAAATTACTGGAATACGAGGCTAAAGAGAAGACAAAGAGCTGGTTTGCCTATATACCCTCAAGAACTACAATCACAAAACCAACAAGAAAACAATCAACCCCAAAGCCTTATCTCTTCACCATTTGATCCCCAAAGAGCAACTTACAACAATCCTCCCCCTCTTTCCCTTCTGAATGTTTTCAATCCTTCAACCATGAGACCCTCCATTACACATCAATTCCCTCTCAGTAGTAACGCCATTTTCCGCGATCCTCCTAAAGGCCTTCCCTTGACATTACCATCTACTTTGAGAAATTCACCTCTCTTTTCAGGGTCCGCATCTATGCCTAACAACAATTTTGGTCCTACCTTGTCCAATTTAATGCCGGTGTCATCATTTCAACAAAATTATCCGAATTTTAGCTTCACAACAAGGCCTTTTATGGGGATTCCTTCGAACCAAAATGAATTAATGTCCGGTATGGGTCTTAGTTCTATTAATTACCCTTCAGGGCCATCGGTAATGACTGCGTCTTCATGTAGTGACTTTGGTTCTAGTGATGCTAACAATTATGCACATGTTGAATTATCGCAAGGGAATAGTGGATTATTAGAAGATTTACTGAAGGGGACTCAGAATTTTCCTCGATCTACGAATATTGAAGAGAATAATAGTCTTGATTTAAATGGAAAAGGAAAATCATTGTGGCAAGACTATGGTTTAGTGGGAGAAGAGGCAAGAGATCATCAAGATGAAGCCTTTTTAACTGAAGAATCAGTTTACAGCTTTGCTCATGGTGGTGATGTCAACTTGAACAACTCCTCTGAAAGCTCAAGCACTGATCCCAATGCATCTTCAGGTAAATATTTAAATTACGATTTACGAAATATTAGAAATTATCTAGGAAATTTTTGGTTTTTCTCTTTTATTCCTTTTAAATGATTAGAAAATAAATGAAATATATGAACTAGTTAATATATTCTAAGGTAATTATATACTCCTTCAGATTTTTCTCTTTTAGTTTAGTTGTCTGTCATGTTAAAATTGATTTTTACTTTTACTCGTCTTTTTTAATATATCATAATGTTAAATAATTTGATTTTCCTGGTTTATCCTTGTTATTAGATATTAATTTCACAAATAATTTTACAAAGATTCTTTTGAAATGCTAATAGTCATGGGTATTTTCGTAAAAATATTTTATTTATTTAATTATTTTCTTTAAAAGAAAGTGCAAAGTATATTACTGACAAATAAATAAAAGTGAGCAAATGGAATATTTACCAAATATTGCCTCATTTTTATCTTATTTCATTAGATTCAGGATGTGATATGATTTGGAAATAAATAATTAATAGAATTCTTACCATCCAATCTTTAAAATATGATTAACAACCGTTTTTGTCATTTATCGACAAAAACTATTTGTTGATAATTCCATATTATATGTTCGACAATTTTTATATTTTTACGATCGTACCCCTAGCACTTATTAATATTTTTTTAAAATCATTTCCCAAGATTTTTTGAAATGCTATTATTCATGAGTATAATTGTAAAAATACCTTTTTTTTAAAAAAAAGGAAAATGTTAAATACAATATGAATAAGTAAAACTGAATGGAGAGAATATATATTTACAAGATATTGTCTCAATTCATCTTATTTTTTTATATTCAGAATGTATATCTTTTTGAAGTCCGTCACCAACATGATTCATAAAATCCTTTGGTAAATAAGATTTTTACAATCGTTTTTGTCGTTTATCAATAGAAGTTGTTCGTCGCTAATTCCAGCTCATACCATAGACAAACTCTACAACAAAAATACATGTTTTTTTCTTTCTTATGTTGTATTTTGAAGCAACTTTTGAATTTTTTTGCTTGTTATAGGGATATTCTTGAGGAAGGAAGGTTCATTACAAGGAATTAATCAAGTGGATGAGCATATAATGAGTCTTCTCAATAATTTTCCTCTAGATCAAGAACCAGTTCCAAATTGGTATGATGAAACTGATGACAAAAAAATGAATTCTGAAATTGGTGCTGATGATCACAAAGCTGAAAGTTTGGGTGAAGATTCTTCCAAGTCACAAGTGGCAATAACAACAACATCAGGGCTAAAACAGCATGATTGGGAACTTGGAGGGTGTTGTTGGAATAACATGCCTCCTTTTTGTTAGAGTAAATTGGAAGGCAAAAAGAACATTGATGATTAGGTTAAAAAAATTGGAAAAGATTGAGGGATACCTCTCTTTCCTTTTTTTTAGAAAACCTTTGGTTGAGATATATTTTTAGGTATGTTTGATTGATGATCGATCATTTGGGATTGTCCTAGATTATTTGCTGTTTTCGTTGAGTTAGAGTTGTCTAGTTTTAGGGTATGTTGTTGGTTTCTAGGGTATGTTTGCTCGAATTTTTTAGAAATGTTGTCGAGTGCCTGTTGGAGGTTCTCGCACATAGTTTGGTGATAGTTTTGGAGACCCGAGCAATATAGGTTTTAGTGAAGTCAGTCTAAGCAGTTGTTCTATATGAACGACAATCAAGATTTATCTTGTTAAGCTTGTTTTATATATTGGTGTGTTATAAACTAGGTCTCTGGGAAATTGAAAGTTATTTATGTCTATTTGAGACTAAAATTGTTGATTTATCTTTTTTGCACGATCTAGTGTCAAAGAGTTGGATGTCACACTTTGAAATATGTGTATGGTATGGCGAAAAATATTTTTTAGATCAATTTCGATCCATTTAACTCACTTATTTATCGCGCCTCTCATTCCAAATAAAATTTATCTCACTCTCACAAATTAAAGTAATCGTATAATTGTTACAAGTAATTAAGTATTGTCCATTCATTAACTAATTAGTTGTAACATGTGGTTAACTACAAGTACTTTTTACTACTTTACCGCTTCATTTTACTTGACTCGTATTAATTTGATATATCGTCTTTTAATACATAAATTGGACAAGTAAGAGAAAAATTATTTATTTTATAAAGGTCAATTAAAACGAAAAGAATGGAGAAATAAATTCAACTCTTTTTTAAATATTTCCTCAATTTTACGGTTAGTTTTTCATTATAGACTTTATGCTTACTTTAAGAAAACAATAAATGGGGTACATATTTTATCATACTTGCTCAGTAAATTTTTACAAGTTCACTTTAAATTTTGCTCGTTCTTTAAATAACATTAATTAACATAATTATTTTTTCATAATACCCAATCTTAATTGATGTTTAATTGTCTTATATCTTGATAAATGATTTTGAAAATAAGTAATTTATGTAGAAAATAAATGAAAAAATCATGTATTTTCTCTATATATTCTTAAAATTACCGATAAAAATAAAAATTAAAAAACTATATTTAATATGATAGACACAAAGTAAATGAAGAGACTAATTATTACATATGAAACAGTGGTCGTTCAAACTAGAAAAATACAAATAACCATTATTCTAAAATAAAATAATTATATTTACATGAACTAATAAAAATAAATGCAACGTTATTTTTATTATCCATTATAGCCCAATAAGAGAGCTAGACTTGGATCACATCCTTTTCCGGAATCTCGCAAAAATATGGTGATGTATGTCTTTACTAAATTTAGAAATTTTAATGATGCCATAAGTCATAATTAAGAAGCCCATTATCAAATGTCAATTGCTTCAATAAGTACGGAAAAATTAGTAAAGTATTCATAATTCCTAATTTAATGAGTAAAATTATTTATATTTTAAAATATTTAGTCAAAATGTCAAAATGTCAATATTTTAAAAATAATTTGTAAATACTAATATTTATATTTCCTTTTATTTTTCAAAACAGTCCAACATTAAATATATTAACTATCCATTAAGACTTCTTTTTGAGTTTAATACCATTTAATTTATTTCCATCTTTAAGATTTTCAATTTTTTTTCTCTTTTACCATTTTCACCATTATTGTCTCTCATTGTCGAAGAAGAACTAATTATTTAAGTTCATATCAATTTGTTCAGAATTATCGATTAATTCAAGAAATCTCTCAATACATAAAGGTATTTTCGTAATCATCTTTTATTTTGCGAGATTTCATAAGATTTTATTTTTGAAATAAAAATTATGTTGAATTTTGGATTGTATGTATTACAATTTTTTCGTCATTTTTTTTATTTTTATATGAGTTTGTTAACATACTCATCAAATATTTATGCATTTCAGAATTTTAGTATTTGAAACACTATTTTTTTGATTTTATTTTCATATTTGAAGTTTAGTAGATTGTAATTTGTAGTAAGTCATATAAGCATCATACACATAATATATTGTTTGATTTTTTTATATATATTCATATTTAATAATTTCGAATTTTGTTTATAGGGTTATTAATTCACAAATAAACACAGATTCAGATTTGAATTTGGTGAAAAGAATTTGAAAAAAGAAACATAGCAAACGAAGAAGAAAGACAGAGTCAAAGAAGAAGGTTGCGAAATTGTATTCGTATCAGAATAATTTTTATATTAATTTTTATTTGTCAAATATTTTTCTTTTACTCATCATTTGTATTTTTATGAAGAATATTGTATTTATTTTTTATTTGTAGTCATTCAAATACATATCTTATTTGAATTTGTATTTCTTAAGCATAAATGTATCCTATTTTTTAACAGTCAATTTATATTTTTTTAGAATATTGTATTCTGATTATATCATTTTCACTATGCATGCTATCTCATATGAATTTGTATTTCTTAAACATATATGTATCCTGTTTTTCAACAGTTAATTTATATTTTTTTAGAATATTGTATATTGATTATATTATTTTACTATGTATGTTATATGTTTTCCAAAATCTTGTATTCTTATTTCTTTCATAGTCAATTTGTATTTATTTTTTTAGAATATTATATCCTTCCTCAACAAATTTATTATTTCCACCAAGTATGCTATTTTTCCGCAAAAATCTTCTACCCTTTCATAAATCATATTCATACATATTGAGATACGTGAGTGTGTGTGCGCGCGCGCGCGCGCGCGGTAATCAAGTAATACAATTTTTGATCACCGGAATACAATTCGTAGTTTGAAATAAAAAAATTAATTTTAATTTGAATGGTAAAGTGAGCACATAAAATATAAAAAATATTGATATACAATTAAAATGAAAACATAACAAAGGAAAGTTGATCTAATAGAATGAAAAATGAGTTTTTTCTTTAAATTGTTAATGATGAGAATTTTCAGTGATATGTTCCTTCTCTAAAAACTATTATTTCACTTTCATCATACTACTTTTTTGTATTTTATATATGATTATACAATATTCTAAATAAAAACTAGGATAAATAGAAATACGAATAAAATACATATTGAAATAAATACGAATAACAAAATTTTCGAAGAAACAAATAAATACACATGAAAAAATATATGAATACAATTATACAAATATGTTTCTTAAATAACTATAAATTTATTTAACATAACTATTGGAATGACTAATAAAAAAAAGATTAAGATTACGGAGAAAAAAAAAAGAAAAAATTTGAGTTTTATTTGAAAATGTAACTAATGAGAAAATTAAGTGATATTTACTTTTTTTTTAAAAATATTATCTCCCTTGATTTTCTCCCTTTTGTTATTAAATAATTTTATTCTTTAATAAAAATAAATAATAAAAACATAAATAAGATAAATAGCAAATTAAAATTTTGATATTTTTAGTAAATATTGAAAGTATTGTTAATAAGCCCTCTGTTATAATATTGACATTTTAAAAAATTTCCCATTAAGTACTCCCTCTGCCTCTATTTATTTGTCTATATTTTCTTTTATATTTGTTTCTTTTTACTTGTCCATTTTAATAAATCAAGAAAGGATGATATTTTTTTTTTCTAATATGCCCTTATTTAATTCTAGAAAATTTCTAGTACTACTAAGTTGTAATGCATGCGTTTGGAACCAGAAAATACATTTATTATATTTGGTGAGTTGCATAGTCTTTTAAGTTATGGATAAAATTGTAACTAACCTAATAATTAGTACCTTAATATGTATTTCAATTCTAAAGTGGACAACTAAATAGAGACAGAGGGAATATTTTTTTTCCGTTTATTTTTATTTATTCATTTCTGATATTTTTTATATCACTAATTACTTTTAGTGAAATTACAATGTACGAACAAAATAAATAATAGGGAAAAAAGATAAATATATCTCCACACTATTATAAATTGTATGCAGAGATCATCTGTCATAATTTCGGGTAATTGGTGCTACTTAGGGGTGTATATGAGCGGATTGGTTCAGGTTTTTCATATATCAAACCAAATCATTTGTGTCGGATTTTTGAATATATAAACCAAACCAAACCATAAAACTTGGGGTTTTCAACTTTGGATTTTTTGAATTATTGAGTTTTTTCGATAAAGTATTCATAAAAACATATACTTTTTCTTCAAATATTTCTCTAGTCCTACCAAAATGCTACTATCTAAGTTATTTCTCAAGAAAATAACAAAAAATATGATATAATTAATGACACTAAAATATCCAAACAATAGTAATAAAATCATGTAAAACAAATATTGCAAATTAATAAGTCATAATGAAATTGATCATAATTTAAAGTATTAAATCATGCTAAAATAAGTTTATTAAGTATTAGTTACATGACTAAATATTAAGAGAAAGTAAAATTAGATCATGTATTTTAATTGTCTAAATATATATAAAACTAAAAAACAAATATTCAATATTATTATCATTCTTAGTGTTGAATTGATTTCTTTTTGCATTAATATTAATTTGATTTTTATTCAAACTTTATTATAATTACCATGTATATACTATAATCTTATTAGATCATTAAGAATTCTAACTTCCGAATATGAAATAATTATATTGAAAGATAAAAAGTATGAAAAAGTATAAGAGCTATTTAAAAATTATATCAAAATAAATATTTTACGTATAAAATAAAATTTTAAAATTATATATATAATGTTAGGTTGGTTTGGTCTTGGATTGTTTTTCTTTTAGTTGAAACCAAACCAACCCAAATGTAGTCGGGTTTTTTTCCAACACCAAACCACTAGTCGGTCTTTTTTCTGTTTGACTCGATTTGTGGTTTGTTTCGGTTATCGATTCAATTTTGTACACCCCTAGTGCCACTGTTATTCAAAAACTAGAACATATATACTCCTCACTTTAATGGAAGACTATATAGGGATACGAGGCACAATCTTATTTGTCGATTCGATATTTAATAAATGTCGAGTCAGTGGATAAGACTACTATACATGTATGTCCGTCGCAAAAAGGGTATATAACTATATATGCTCTAGATTTTGAACAGTGTTGCAGCAATATCCGAAAAGTATGATAAAGAATATCCGCATACCATTTACTATTATAATTTAGGAGTATATTTGTCATTTTCCATAAAATAAAAAGACGTCTCTGTTTTTATCATTTCATTCCCCTATTAATAAATGTTTATACATACCATCAATTCTTAAGCCATAGGTCACTTTTATTTCTCCTTTATTTTATTTTTTCAAATAAAGTCAATTAGCCAACCTTATAAAATCAAGAAAAATAATTTAACAACTTGTTGACGGAAATTGTCATATTTGATGTTCGATGTCAAT